TCATTTATGGCTTTTAGTTCTTCCCGCGATTCCTGACTCCTAAAGGATTCTTTTAGCTTAAGTTCGATGCTTGCTATTTCTCTGACCAGTGTCTCCCTGCGCATTTCAGATATATTGACCTCTTTTAGCCGCTCTGTTATTCTTTTCCGTCGCCTGTAAAGGGAGCGCCTGTCTCTTTCTATTTTACATCTACCCCCTCCTTTTTCTTAGAGGAATAAGCCTTGTGCATACATCGAGTGCCACCGAGTTAATCTGTTCTAGGCATAAGTTTGGGTCTGTGTTTGCTTAGTATACCCTTCCCACTTATATCGGTTGGGACTGGTTTACTTGGTCCCAACTTTATGTTTTTGTTATTGAAGTTGAATTTGGTGAATGCTCCCTCGTGACTAGTCTCATTTTGTCGGTCTGGGGCTCCATGCATATGTCTGAACCCCCAATTATGTTGTGATCTGAGTTATTGTTTTGATATGGTGACATTCTTATCAGATCATCATTGTTAGTGAAGATGAGGTCTAGTGTATTCTCCAGTCTTGTAGGCTCTATTATTTGCGGGTTTAAATTTAAAAATTTTGTGCAGAGATTAAAAGCTCGTGTGAGTGTGAGTTTTCATCAGAGCTGCCTCCTGGTGTTTTTAGCAAAAAATATTATTTGCTAATTTCCCCCCATTTTAGGTCCCTTAAGTTGAAATCCCCCAGGAGCAAGATGTTGGGTGCAGGAGCTGGAAGATTTTCCAGACAGTGGTCAATTTTTAACAGCTGTTCCTGGAATTGCTGGGATGTTGCATCCGGAGGCTTGTAGACTACCACAATGACTAGGTTTTGGTTCTCGCCCTTTACTGCTAAAACTTCCACTACGTCATTTGAGGCATTAAGCATTTCCCTGTGCAAACAAGTGACTCTGCAATGTACAGCCAAACCCCCCCCTTTTTTTTGCCTGTTCACTCGGGGTCACATCTGTATAGGTTTGTAACCTGGGATCCATACTTTCGTTGTCCAAGTGACCCTTTTATGTGGGTCTCAGTGAAAGCCGCGAACATTGCCTTTGCTCTGCAAGCAGTCCACGGATGAAAGGTATTTTGTTGTTTGTAGCTGGCTTTAGACCCTGTATATTGCAAAGAAAGAATGTTATCGGACTGGTGTATTGTTGGTACTGGGGGGGGATTTTTTTTCCGGCATTAGTACCCTGTATCTGTTGGTTTGGGGGTGGAGGCCATCGGGCTGTGGTTTTCCCCTCCAGGAATGACTGGATTTGGTGTACGATTTCTGCCATTTCCTGCCAGTTTTTTTTCCTTCCTGGCACTAAAAAAAAACCCCTCCCTCTTGAGTGGCTGTGGCTACCCAGGTTTTCCCATGGCCCCGGATGTTTTGTATCTTTTTGTCCCCTTTAGATGGTAGCCTGGCAATTTAAGTTATAGCACAGTCTTTCCTGTACTGAAGAGGTACACATTTCAGGGGGAAAAAGCTTACAGGAAGGGAGTTTTGCATTTTCCTGTTTTCATAAAGGGCATGGCATTTTCTAGGGGGGTCATAGTTGCATGTCCCATCTGTTTTTTCCAGATTTCCCATGCCAGCAGATACCAATGCATAGTATGTGCACAGGCTTGGTTTCCGCTTGCCTTGGGTTTCTGTGACTGTATTCCCTGGTGGTGCATGTTTCCCTGTCTTACTTCTATCCTCCCTAGCACCAACAATGGAGCTCCCCCCAGTTGTTTTTGGTAATTTATCCTCACTATTGCTATTGGGGTCCTCTTTTTTGCTATTTCCTGCGGATTTCTAGTTTGCAATATTGGTTTTATCTTATCTTTGACTAACTTGTTTCCCTACTATGGCTCCTGTCCCCTATGAGGTCATTTATATGTATTCCTTCCTGCGTATAATTCCCGACTACCTGGACAAAATCTCCAGCTTCACCATTTCTGTCTCCCAGGACAGTAAACTCCAGCTTCACCATTTCTGTCTCCCAGGACAGCACCCCCAGCTTCACCATTAAATGTCTCCCAGGACCCGTATCTCCAGCTTCACCAATTTTTTTCTCCCAGGACAGCACCTCCAGCTTCACCATTTCTGTCTCCCAGGACAGTATCTCCAGCTTCACCATTTCTGTCTCCCAGGGCAGCACCTCCAGCTTCACCATTACTGTCTCCAGGACAGCACCTCCAGCTTTACCATTACTGTCTCCCAGGACAGCACCTCCAGCTTCACCATTACTGTCTCCCAGGACAGCACTATCAGCCCCCATTTACTGACTACCAGGACATCACCTCCAGCCTTACAGTTTATGACTACATGGGCCCGTATCAAGGGCAGTACCATTCAGCCCAGACATTTTATGTTCCCATCTGTTGTAGAAAGCTTCCAGGTTTTCTATGAAAGCAGCTTTGATGTTGTCCTCTTTTAATACCCTTGTGATTTTAGTCCACAGATTTTCCTCATTTGAGCATACCCAAAAACACTTCCTCTGTTTTAATACTGCTTGTAGCTAGTTCTGGGATATCTGCACAAGGGGCGTGACACCATTTCCACAAAAATGACAATTTATCCATGTTTGGGAAACCCGTTTGTTTTGACTGACCACAGACTACACAGGCTTCATAATGATTTGAATGGTTGATTTACTGCAATTCTACTAGCAACCTCTTGAAAATTCTATTAATAACCTTAAATGAAAACTCTAGCTATTTGTATTTCTGTTTCTAACTCTTTTTGTATATTGGACAGCTTACCGCACGTTCCTGATTTTTTAATGTTTGTGTTATAGGGCGCCTACAACCCCATCCGTTTACAGTCTCTTTATTGTCCAACGAAACTGTTTGAAACCAGTCCCGGGTCGGACCAGTCAAGGGTTCGGACCAGGCAAGGGTTCGGGCCAGTCGATCTGCTCTGATCAGTGGGTCACTTATTTAAAACATACTGGTCGGTGATTTGAGCTAACACATGAAGGATCTACTGGAAATTATCTACCCAGTAATATGTGATTTGACTGATACAAAAGTATAACTTGCGTGTTGAAGAGCCGGTGATATCTGGGAGCTCCTACAATACGAACGGTCACCTCCTTGTTTATCAATCGCTGTATCTGGCTTTTCCCCTTTTTTTTTTTTTTTTTTTTTCTTTTTTCCGTCTCCACCACAAAAAATGCTATATTATCACTATAGTTGACTGGTGCAAATTTTTGGGGGAAGGACGCTTTTTCTGTAGTAATAATTGCTTCTCGTTGTGTATATTGCGACTGCTGGTAAAATACAGGGTTTTATGAAATTCACAGTAACGTCTCGTATTTCAAGAAAAAGAAACTAATGAAAGTCACTCCACTCCACTAAGTACCATTATAATACTGGTTAGTTGCTACTACAACACTGTATTCTGCTAATCACTGGTATCACTAGATTATATGCGAGTACACTGGCAAGCCAGGAAGATTATTAAAAAAAACAGCTGACCTGTGGTAAGTTCTGGCGACTTCTGGCACCTGCCTCTATAGGCTTATCACTTCATTTACAAATTCACCTGTTTTCAAATGACACTTTAGCCTTTATCATCAATATACTGTGCAAATTATGGCATTTGCAGACATCAGCCACCCGAATTGTAAGTCTTCCTAAATTTTTACTAGATGTAATATCCTCGTCACTCTAGTAAAGTCTCCCACTTTAAGCTGGATGACTTAATTACCTCGAGTGTGAGATGTATCCTGGGTGATTAATTGTGACAAGGAAGCCATCCTGCATTATGAAGTGTGACAGGAAGGCCATCCTGCGTGATGAGTGTGCTGAGTAAGTTTACTTAGGTACAGGTACATATACGCACAGTTACACACAAATTTTGATTACAATTATCATATATGGTAACATATGTGTACATCACCTAGGATAACCCCCCAAAAAAAGTCAGACGAAGTAACTTATATTTTCACTGGGGTCCTTGTAACATTTTATTATTTAAAACCTAAGCTGTAAGATAAAGTAGAAATCAATCATGATTAAACCTTTAAAGTTAAAATAACTAAGCAACTCAGTGTGAAAGTCAGTTACAGTAAAAACAGGGACAATAACTAAGTTATAAACATGAACATTAAACAGAGAGGATCAGCTTACAATAATAGGTACACTAATGTTAGCTATACAAGAAATCACTTTATTTTTTTTTACCTTTCTGAAGCTCCATTCTTTAGGTACCTTCTGGCTCTCCCTGAACTGGCTCATACTAGGACTGTCTAGGTTACCAGAGTTAGTCCTCCTGGCTTTTTAAGATGCTAAGATCAGGGTAACCTCACAGTGTAGCGTATGATGCAAAAATAACATATACTGTCTGGGATAACAATAATAATAATAATAATAATAATAATAATAATAATAATAATAATAATAATAATAATAATAATAAATTTAATTGGTGTTAATAGTACCTGCAGAAACAATTAAAAAATAGCTCTAATAAAGACCGAAAGAGTTTTGCTAATAAGTGACAATAAATGCATTTCTTGGCTAGATTAATTTAACTATGAACTGTCTGCAGTATTTTGGTAACTGGCATATGTACATGCGAAAAGTACTTTGCATGCCGTTAATGTTACAATTACAATGAATAATTCATTTACTAACACCATCAAAATCAGAAATATCTGATTCGCCAAATGAGGCAGCCATCAAAATCACATCACTCTGTAAGGCACTAAACGCCACGTTATCTTGGCAGGTCGTATATTATACCCAGTCAGCCGGAGGAGAGACGGATGGCATGCACTTAAAAATACTGCTAGGTAGAGTGATTTCAACTAGCCATAAGAGTTAGCACTGACAGTGTAGAGTCCCATCTAGCGACGCTGGCGAGTTAGTCCCACACTGATGCCAACACTCTCCTTTGATTAACTTATTTCTCCCTCTCCCTGAGTGGTTCTCGCTCCGACCTATGAAGAGACAAACTAAAGAGGTTTTAAAATGTAGGTCCTATCAAAGGAGTAAGAGTTCGTGAGAGGCAGTAGAGGAGTTTTGAGGTGTTAGAGAGATGTAAGGCAACATGGCAGTAGCTGGTGACTGGCTGCTGGTACGGAGACAAACAAACCAGAGAGCGTGGAGGACTGAACAAGTGTACGCGCACGCTCTCACACACGTTATTCTTTCCTCTTTTATCATCATGAGTCGATGGTAAGACCTGGATATACTGTGTCCATAATAAGCTAATCAAGTGTGTGCGTCGACCGAGTGAAATGGCGAGTGAAGAGTGTGGGAAGTGGGCGATTAACAAAGGATTTTGTGGGTGTTGTGCCCCTCCTGGCGTGGTGGGGGACCCGCATACATGCCACTTGACTATACTACTGCTCACACCACCCATCATCATGCTCTGAGATGTACCCATCACCATGCTCTGAGATGTACCCATCACCATGTACACTGCGCTAGCAATATCGACGAGCACCACAATAGTGATCATGATGTGGATGGCAACAAAAGTGTTTTCTCCATGCTGAGTGTGGTGGTTGTAGTGCTCGGCTCTGCTGAGAGGACCTGGGGTCGAACCCCCCACACGAGAGAGATATATGTACACTGTCTCTTAACATATAGTGCCCTTGTTACCTACCAGTGAATAAATAGCTGGCAGTTAGACGACTGTTGTGTGTAGCATCCTGGGGGAAGACCTAAACCGGAACCCAGTGGGAATAAACCACATTGATTAACCTTAATGAAGTTGTCCTGGGTTACTGACCTTTCAAACTTAGTAATCCTAATATAATATTCATCTAAAACGGCTGTCGTTTAGCAGTTCTTGTAAGGACGTCTGACTCACTCCTGATGCATCTGGGAATTTCATCATTTTGTGTGCTCTCAAAATGTGCACTTTCATGCTTGAAGGAAAAGTTCATGGTGAACGTTTATCCCAAGATGAGCCGTCCTAAATGTGTTTATATAATCTTATTACCAACCATGAGTATTTTTTTAATTATAAATGTTTTATTTAGGGAATGTACACAAATAGATTTACAAGCAGCATTACATATTTTGTACAATAATTGAGGGAGCACAGCTACTATATATATATATATATATATATATATATATAATATATATATATATATATATATATATATATATATATATATATATATATATATAACCTTATTATAACAAGAACAATTTATAATAGCCTAACCCAACTAAATATATTTTAGATATGTTTACAATAATTTAATACTAAACAAACACAGTGAAATATATTTTTTTCGTTAGGTTCAGAATGATTTTGGCGAAATTATTGCATACACAAATTTTCACTTGTCCTATATGGCAAGATGAACGTTGCTATTTAAGCCAAGATCGCAAGTTCTGCCTATTCGGCACGACATATATATAATATATATATATATATATTATATATATATATATATATATATATATATATATATATATATATATATATATATATATATATATACATATATATATATATATATATATATATATTATATATATATATATATATTTATATATATAATATATAATATATATGTATATATTTATATATATATATATATATATATATAATATATATATATATATATATATATATATATATATTATATATATATATGTCGTGCCGAATATGTAAAACTGGTCAATTAGCAAGAACTCATTTAAAATTAAGTCCTTTCTGAAATTTTCTTTTATATGTTTAAAGATATATTTTTTTCATTAATGTTAATGTAAAAAATTTTAATTTTGCACCAAAAGAATCTTAGAAAACTTACCTAACCTTATTGTAACAAGAACAATTTATTTTAGCCTAACCCAACTAAATATATTCTAAATTTGTTTACAATAATTTAATACTAAACAAACACAGTGAAATATATTTTTTTCGTTAGGTTCAGAATGATTTTGGCGAAATTATTGCATACATAAATTTTCACTTGTCCTACATGGCAAGATGAACGTTGCTATTTAAGCCAAGAACGCAAGTTCTGCCTATTCGGCACGACATATATATATATATATATATATATAATTATATATAATTATATAATATATATAATATATATATATATATATATATATATAATAATATATATAATATATATATATATAATATATATATTATATATATTATATATTACATATATTTATATAATATATATACATATATAATATATAAATATATATATATATATATATATATATATATATATATATATATATATATATATATATATATATATATATATATATATATATATATATAATATATATATATATATATATATAATATATATAACACGCATGCACGCAAGGCGGAGCCAGGAGCTGCGACTCGACTCTTGCAACCACAGTTGTGAGTACACAAGCGCGCTATACATACAGATGAATATACACATACATAAATACATTGCATTCATACATTTAATCAGAGATAACTGATAAAAGTCAGTGTGACTTATTTCTGTAGGGATTCTTTTCTAACCATATTTTGATGTCAGGCAAAAAAATATTTACCATTTATATTATATAAAAAAAATACTGTGCAAGTTTAATGAGATTTATACAAGTGGTTACCAGTCGAGTGTTAGGACCAGTCACATGACAGTGGACTAGTTATCTTTTTTTCCTCTTAAACGTAAGGGGGCAAGAAAGTTTACTTAGGTACAGATACACATAAGTACTACAATTATCTACTTAGTAACATGTCTAAATTACCTAGGACAACCCATAAAAGTCAAAGTGACTTATAATAATAAAATTATTTACTGCAAGTACATGTACAGGGTATACAGGCCTAACTGATATCAATGACACTACTATATAGAAAGCCGCTTGTTAATGCAGAGCATTTCGGACAGATTAGGTCAGTTTTGTCCCAGGATGCGACCCACACCAGTCGACTAACACCCGGGTACCCATTTTACTGATGGGTAAACATAGACAAACGGTGTAAGGAAACACGTCCAGTGTTTCCACCTCTTCGCCGGGAATCGAACCCAGACTCTCCCCGTGTGAAGCGAGAGCTTTTGCCACCAGGCCACAGGGCTATAGGGGATGGGAGGGCTCTCTATCCAAAGAATTTGAGCTACTTTCTCTGTCCTTGGATCGAGTCGAATTGCCTCCCATTTCCCCAGGCGTTGTTTGACTTCTATTGGCTCATCACTCTATAGTGAAGTCAATAAATGAAAAAAATAGTGTTGTTCCTAATCCAAAGCTTAAGAAGATTTGATCTGATTTAGATCATTAGCTGAGTAAATTTAATTTGGTTCCAGGTCTATAACTGGTTAGAATTAGCCTCTAGACCTGAGTAGACCTGATCATGTCCAAACCCTAAACAATGGGTAGGCAACAAAAACAGACCTAGTTTGTCCGTAGACACTGACCTGGCAAGACTTGATCTGGTCACTGACCTATATCCGTCTAGACTTGCTCTTTCTACAGATCTATACTTGGCAAGACGTGGTCTGGCCCCTGACATAACTGGACAGATGATGTGGTCTGGCCCCAAACCTAATACTGAATAAGCCATATGATTGGATAATTTTGACCCAGACCTTCGTAGACTTGGTATGGTCCCAGACCTGTAACTTTCAAGACTATATAATCCCAGAACTCTATATGGCTACACAGCCTGAACGCAAACCTAGTTGCACATGGGAGCTGTTGATATATATTTATTTTATTTTAGCATATATTAAACATTAATATATTCAACGAATATAAATTTATAATGTATTCTTAATTAAATACTTAATACTGTATTAATTGTATATTGAAATAATACATGTACTTAGTTACCATTGCACTGAATGCTATGTAGAAAATAAATATACACAAGCAAATAAAAATATGTATACAGAGTGAATGTTGATTAGGAGATTGTGAGAGTGAGAAAGATGGAGCAGTGGGAGGAGAAATTGGGTAAGAGTGATAGTGAGATGGGGGAGGAGGAGATAGAGACAAGGGGCAGCGATAAGACGTGAGAGGGGCGTACGTGAAAGAATGAGGGAAATGGAAGAGGGAGTGTGGGTGAAAACGGAAATGGAAGATAGTGTAAAGGAGACAAAAGTGTGTGGAAAAGATGTGTGTGGGGAGGGAGAAGTGGTAGTGCGGGAGAGACCAAAGGGAGTGTGGATGAGAGAGGAGGAAGTGTGTGGGGGAGAGCAGAGGATTTGTGTACAAAAGAGCTGTATAGCCCTTGTGGCTTAGCGCTTCTTTTTGATTTTAATAATAATAATAATGTGTACAAAAGAGAGAGGGTGTACTTAGGATGGATAATGAGAACATTCAAGACAAGAGATGCCAAGCCAATGATGATCCTTTTTAAATCACTCTTAGGATGGATAACTCACTTTTAGGATGGATAATGAGAACATTCAAGACAAGAGATGCCAAGCCAGTGATGATCCCTTTTAAATCACTTGCTCTCTCTAGGCTGGAATACTGCTGTATATTAACCTCTCCATTCAAGACAAGTGAAATTGCAGATCTAGAGAATGTACAGAGAACATTTACTGCACATGTAAGTCCCAAAAAAACCATACCCCGGCCGGGATTGAACCCGCGGTCATAGTCTCAAAACTCCAGCCCGTCGCGTTTGAGACTCTATGACCGCGGGTTCAATCCCGGCCGGGGTATGGTTTGTTTGCAATCGTGTCATTACGATTTCGTGAGTCATGTAAGTCCCGTCAAACACCTTAGCTACTGGGAGCGCTTGGAAGCATTTGACTTGTACTCACTGGAGCGTAGGAGAGAGGTGCATCATAATCTACACCTGGAAGATCCTGGAGGGACTGGTCCCTAGTCTGCACACACAAAGCAAAAAACTTGGCAGGCGATGCAACATGCCCCCAGTGAAAAGTAGGGGGGCCATTAGTACACTAAGAGAACAATAAGTGTCCAGGGCCCAAGACTGTTCAACACTCTCACACCAGCCATAAGGAGAATTACCAATAGATCCCTGGTTATCTTCAAAGAAGGTGCTGGACAGATACCTGAAGCCAGTGCCGGATCAGCAGGGCTGTAGTTCGTACGTTGGACTACATGCGGTCAGCAGTAACAGCCTCGTTGATCAGGCCCTGAGCCACCAGTAGGCCTGGTCATGGACCAGTCCGCGGGGGCGTTGATCCCCGGAATACCCTCCAGGTAGACATATATGTGGTTGCAGGGGTCGA